AGTAATTTGGCTCTGCGGTGTTGGAGTCTGAATAACACGTGATCTTTTAGCTGGTTTAGGAGAAGAGTTCAAGTCTATAAGAGGATAGAATTGTTTAGAGCCAGTAGCTTGAGTAATTTGGTTCTGCGATGTTGGAGTTTGACCAAACTGGACTGTTTTAGCTGTTTTAGGTGAGAAATTCAAATCTATAAGAGGGTAGTTAGGCTTAGAGCTAGTAGTTTGAGTAATTTGGCTCTGCGATGTTGGAGTTTGAGTAACACGGGATCTTTTAGCTGGTGTAGGTGAAGAGTTCAAGTCTAAAAGAGGGTAGTCTGGTTTTTTTTTCATATTTGCAAACAAAAGAAAAACAGCGAGTTTAAGCAAAATGGTTCTTCTGATAAACAATGAACTTCATACTGAAATAGCCTTTTAAAAATTAAATGGCAGATACGCCATTGATCAAGTAATATTGATCTGTTGATAAAATATAGACAGTTACTATATTCTAGGCATTGAGATCAAGTTAGATGTTTCAATGATAATATTTAGAAAATCTGTCCAATATTATCGTTAGTGATTCATATACTAACTGATATGTTTATAATTACACAGATTAAGGAAATACAGCAAGCAATGAGGATCTTGATAGATGCTTATCTTGATTGATGCGTGTCTAAAGCTAACCAATACCTTTAATATCTAGGTATGTTTTCTAAACATTTTCTTAAACCAAATCATTTAATTTACTAAAGTAAACGAATTAACCTAAATAGTTACTGTTTGAGATTTAGTTAGAATTAAATTCATAATTAATTTATAACCTTTTTTTCTTTTAACAGACCTATTGCAAACTTGTAGACATCAAAATACCAAAAAACACATAAATTGTCAAACAGATTCAATACAGATAAAATATTAAATAGAAAGCAAGTTTGCAAACTCTTGTGCAGAGTTGCCGTAGTAGTTGATAATAAACTAAAAGAAAATTAAAAACATGAAGAGTTCAAACCATAAACTTAAAACATAACACCAAACCATTCAGAGTTCTTCAAAAGAGCTAGCCACCGTAGAACATGCACAGATATCCCTCACAATAATTAGTTCTCCTCAACCATCTCCATCATGACATCTTCCTCATCACTTGAAGTATCTTCGAAAGAGCGCCTACCAGAAATATAGTTGCATTTATGTTAACACTGAAAATTGAAAAACATTAAAGAAGTGTAAAATATAAACGATACTTACAGGTAGCTTGGTAAGTCTAGCTCATAGAAAATGGGATCAATGTAGAGACGTGAACAGCAAGATTCACTCATTAAGACATTTTTTCCTATATTGCAATAATAAACACAGTCAATATAACACTGCAAAAATAAGTTCAGCAATAGCAAAATCTCATTAAAACCTACCACAGTACGATGAGATCCTCCAGAAACGCAAGACTGCAACTATCTTATCATAGTTGTAATCTACAGAGCTAATTCTTCTGGACCAAGCGTTGATAAAGAACTCACACCACTTACCAATAGCAACGCATTTGATAGTCTCACCCCTAGATTTCATGTAGCCATCAAAGCATATTGTTTTTAACAGATATAACATGATAACAAAAATTTGAATCTTGTACAAAATTAGACAGAAATATAGTAAACTTACACATTGTTAGCAATCTTGAAACAGACATAGCGAGCTTCATAATCTGTCTCACCAGGACGACAAACAAAGGGAAACCTTCCAATGGTGGACACAGCAGAGATCACACCCATAGCATCTAAAAAAACAAAACACAAAATGGTTGGAAAGACATTTAAATAGATAACTATATAACTTGAACCTAGGCTCTTTTATTACCAGTCACATAGGTTCCATCATCTGGATGAGGGTTGCTGATAGAATCATGAGTCATAAAGTCAAAGAAATTGCTATAACCCCTAGATCTAACAGGCCACATTGTTGTTTGTCTGATACACCTAATCTGAAGTGGAAATGGTGCAAATCTGGCTTGGTATTCTGAGGGTACGACTGGTTGGAAGTCAGACATGTAATACCACAAACCTTCTTTGAGTCCAGGTTGAAAGTTAAAAATATAGTTGTTTCTAGCAATTGTTGCATCGCAGAAATTACCCTATACAAACAAAAACAAAAAAATCAAGAGATATTAAATAAGAGAAGAAAGTAAGTGGATGATCTTCACTATGTTTTAAAACAGAAGATAAGAATTACAAACAAACCTTTTCATCTGCGAGAATCATGGTGGTTACATCACCATTCAATGGTGGATTGTGATGCCAGATACGCATTATCTTAACATAAACCCTCCACTCTGTAGAGTTAACACGAATTTGGGAAAAAAGATGCATATCAACCATGTTTTGTAACGATTCTGCTTTGCTTTGAGAAGGGAAGTTACAGTGTTTCTTTTTCAATTCTAAACGATAGGTCTACTTGGTTATATAGAGAGATTGATGAAGATGAGAAATAAATTGTTAAAGAAAATAAGGGAAATCGAAACGTTATTAATTGTTTTATTAGTATACTCTATATTTTTTAGATTATAGGGAATCATTGATAATGATTGAAAAGTTGTCAGTTACCAAAATGATTACGTTTGAAGATTGCATGTCAAATATGAAAGATTGAGTATACAGTATATATAGACACTATATATACATCTAAGAATTTTAATATTCTAATATATCAAGTTATACGGAATCTTAGCACTTCACATATATGTAGATGTATCTATATTATGCTCTCTAATTAATTAGGTTTATAGATGAATTAGAAGTTAAGCAAAAAAGACTATATTTGCAAGGTTAATTAATATAGAGTAAGACTATAATTGTAAGAAATGATAAATTGAAATAAAATAGCATCCAACGAAGACTAACAATAGAAAGAAATCACCAAACAGAATAGCAAGCAATAATAGAAATCAAAGTCTTAGAAATCTGAAAGCAATAAGAAAACAAAGCAGGTAATTATTCAAATCATAGCAACCATTCTTCACTTCTTTTCAACCTTGACCTTCACAACACCTTTAACACATTTCCCCTCCTTCTTCACCTCATGTGTACCCACTCCACCATTGGATACAACATTGTTAGTCTTAGGCTCAGATTTGTAAGCATCATCATTAATCACCACAGCAACCTTGGCAGCTATGTCCTTCACATTTGCCTCTTGATCCTTAGTAATAGAATCTTCATCACCAAAGTCAATAGGTTCAATGCACAACTTCTTAGAAGAAGAAGAATGATCAGAAGAACCGGGATTGTCAGCATAAACACGTTTTGATGATGGAGTGACAGAGTCAGAAGTCTCTTGACTCATCTCCAGCATTAGTGGCACCTGTAATAAAACAAACGATGAAATTAATACTATAACTTAGCTTGTTTTAAGATCCATGTACTAACAATTGTTCTATGCTAAATATGTTCTGACAAAACAATCACCTGATCACCAGATACAATAGATGCAGGATTGACCAACTCATGAGAATCCTCCAGCAATTGTTCCTCAAGCAGAAGGCCATCTTTCTGCAACACTTTAGATACCTTGTATATCTCCTTCCCATCCCAAATATTCTCTTTATCAATAGACACCAGGAAAAGAAATGTCCTTCCAAATAGATTTTTAACTGCATCTGGTATGTTCTCCGGATCATCAATCTGAAATTAAAAACTATTCAGGAATTTGTGTGTCTAGAACAATGTAAAAAAGATATTAGCATATATAGTAGTGCATCAAACCTCATCAACGGAACCATTAAGCACAGATGTAGCAGACTCTCCAATGATTTCAGAGCAAACTGAATCAAACAGCAACAATTTAGCTTCACCAGTGTTGTCCATCACCTTAGCATAGAGCATAAACCTGTATAAAATGTAAACAATAATGTATATGTAGATATAATTTTCTTCTATAGACTAATAACATAGCTATTTCAGAATTTTTTACCTAGCCACGACATTAGTGACCACAGATTTGCAAGTGTCACACCAGAACCTTGGCTTTTTCCCTTTGTTATTCACACCATTCACTCCATGGTGGATATGTGTGACTTTCTTATTGCAAGCACGACAGCTAATGTAATACCAAGCCCAGTCGGTATCAATTGCATAGATTGTACACATCAACCTTGCCTTGCCAATCTAGAAAAAAAGTAGATTTTAATATGGATATTTATAGACATTAAACTGTTTTCTAATGATAGTAATCATAACTAATTACCTCGACAGAGTTGAGGAGATCCACAATGGTTTTCCTGGGATGATCTAAAGAAGTATCATCCTGATTGGCAACAACAATCTCAAATTTCGGGACTCTCTCACGGAAGATACACATTGCACCATCACTTGGGAGACTATATGTCAAAAACATGTATATATATGTTAGTTCCATAGTACAGAAGTAAGCACAATTGGATAAACTATTAAATCACATACAAAATGTACCTTTGAACAAACACAGCAATTTCAGGGATTGCTGGATTAACAAAAACTTGTGAAGCATCAAATGAGTTAGACAGAGTCTTTACACCTGTAGATTACAAATAAGATATATGAGGCATAACTTCTATATAAACGGTCCCAGTATATTGATATGGTTGCTAAGATTATGTTTTATGTACCTTTGAAGGATTTGATCTTCACAAACCTCAACAAACAGACAACAGGACGTCCACCAGCATCCTGGCTTCCTCTGTAAACAGTCTCAGCAAATGATCCCCACAAGGTAACACCGATCCTTTCATCACTTTTATGTTCAAAACAGAACATGTTCAGTAGGATAAGTAAAGATACTAACCAAAAAATTGAAAATTCTTACGTTTCATTTCTCATTTCAAACTCAATCTTGCTAGTTGGTTTGTTATTGGCTTCAAGAGTTAACAACTCTCCAATCATAACAATCTGGCCAATTACATCTATAAAATAAAAATAGAGATAAAAATATATCATGTTCTGTTTCTAAAGTGTAGATTGATTTATTTAATATCTTTAAATTAAAAAGATACTTACCAACCAATATGTATGGATTAAGATCTCCATTTTGAATTCTTTTGAAACTGGCTAGTGACAGGTAACTTGAGTCAGAGACAGGATCACATGGAAAGACATGAGTTCCATTTGTGAAAGTCATCTTATATAGATGAGAGGTTGGACGAAATTGGCCACTGGCATAATTGAGAGCAAAGATCTCAATGAACACCCAATGACCAACAGGTAAGCTTGAGACATATCTGCTCACCAGTTCCTTCTTCACGGTAGCATGAATCTTTTTGCCCTGTTATAGTTTATAGAAACAGTAGAGTCAGTTAAAAATAGTAGCTTTAAAATGGTTTAATGCAAACTAATTAACAATTATTATGTTACAGATTTACCTCAATGTCAGATAACACCAACTCTAGAGTTTCACCAGTGTTGGATGTGTACTGACGCCAGGAGTGAAGTACCTTCACTTGGACTCTCCACTGTGTGGTGTATGGCCTGACATCTTTGAGGTAAGCAAATGTTGCAGCAGCCATTATATGCTCGATTATGTTTAGAGAAAATAATATGATTAGAGGGGGTGAGTGCTGATGATGATGAGAGGGTTTGATATGGAACTATATATAGGGTGATAGAATAGGTTACAATCTCCCACAAATCGGCATAAAATATATGCATTGTTAAGATTATGGAATATAGATTAATGGTTATCAATGAATTGGTTGAGGTTTCCGGAAATCTGTGGGAAGGAGAGGATAACTAAAAGATTCTCTTAAATGATAAGAACTGAGCGTAGGCGGGAAAATAAATTCAATTAGTAGAGGGAAAATATATTTCGAAGTCATTTAAATTGATAGTAGCAGAAGCAAGATTTGGTGAAGATTGCATTGACGAAAATGGTGGAACAAAAGAGATGATAAGGTATGTGAGAAGTAATTTGTTTTGATTGTGTAAATATGAGTGGAATAAATTAGGTATGATTAGATTCCGGAGATATTGGATTAGCGAAATAGTTTAGGAATATGTGAAGTGCGGATTGGTAGATTAAATATGGAATTATAGAAGTAATTAGAGTGAAAATTTAAATGTGGTTTTAAGACAACATTCCTTAAATCTCTTATCCAAGATCCGAATATGATTAAACCGGGTAAAACCCGGATCCAAAAGACTTTTTGCAAAAATCCCCTGTAAAAATGTATATATAGATAAGAGAGCCGCCTTATATAGGCAAAGTACAATAAATCATAAACCGAAAAGTAGCTTAACTTAAATAATAATAAATAAATAAAGGAAAAACACCCAAATCTTAATAGAAAACTTATTTTGATACATATCTCGTATCACTCCCCTCCTCGACTAGGAGCTTGTTCCTCAAGCTCTAATTCCGTTTGCATGTGATGTGTCTTCTCCTCCTTGCAAGGCCTCCTTCTTTGCAATTTTTGCCACGAGAGCAAATATTTCTTCAATTGCTCGCTTCTCTTGTTCCTTAAACAAGATTGAATAACCATGTAAAACCTTTGACATATATTTCGTTTTTTCTTGTTCTTTTAACAAGATTGAAAAACCATGTAAAACCTTTGACATATATTTCGTTTTCTGATTATTTTTTTTCCTAAAAAAAAGAATCAAATTAATCCAGAACCTAAACCAAAGCTGCTAGACATATACATACATCAAAAAAAAAAACTCAAATCATCATAAATTTTAGCAGGTAATGAAAAAAAGTTAAACCTAAAGACTATGTCTAATGACACCAATCCTTTGAGTGAACAGCCGAGCCAAGACAAACATCTAGATGACACCAAAGAAAGTAATATCTGCTCGATTCAATCTGTTGTCCAAAAAGTACATAATTCTTTTTTTTTTTTTTTGTGCGAAGGTACATAATTCTAACAGTCGCAACTAAAACACAAATGAGGCTTTTGAGAAGTTTGGGCAGAGAAATTGAGAAAGTGGGGTTATCTTTTATTGTAAACGCATAATTATAAGTAAAAATAATATAAACCAAAGAGCATCTCAGTTTTTCTGAATTTACAAAAGAAAGCAAGCAAAAGCTCTTGATTAAGGTCTTCGAGAGAGAGAGAGAAAGAGAGAGTCACACCCCTACAAAGATTAAAAAGTGGGAAGAAAGAGAAGCTCTAACTTGGCTCTCATAACAAATAAACGTCCTTGTCATCATCTGAGATGATCTCACCTAAACCCTCAATGCCACGGCAGCGATGGTAGTTAGCAAGACAATCATCGTGGTTCGGACGGAGAGCTCTTCTCCACCGTTGGGATCACCTACACCGAAACCGCTGGTGCTGCTGGACGGTCCCATAGTAGTGTTAGGAAATGCTATCGTAGATGATGTCGGCTTATCATCAGTGGGTAGTGTGCTGCTTGTTGAATTTCCTGTGGTTGGATTTGTGGTGCCTGGAGTTGCGGTGGTTGAATTGCCGGTTGGTGGATATCCGGCAGTGGGGGTTCCGTTTGAGCTGCAAAAAAGTTACTCTTATAAGATCATCATCACAATTTCTAAAAATTGGTAATAAAATCAGTAATAAAGATTCTGTCACACATTAATAGACAAGTTACTGAACTATTCAACGCCTACAGAATCATCAGAGAGCTCATTACCGATCTAAAGAAAACATTAAGCAAAACGATCAAGAATTAAAGAGAGGACAAAAGCCCTAATCTAAGACTTATTGAGGTAACTTGGGAAGCAAGAAAGCTCCAAGGCAAGGTGGAGTAACATACCTGGAACTAGATAAACAGTTTGACGTAGCTGCAAGAACAGAGTAAAGAAATAATCAACAAAAATATATATATACATTTGATGAAATGAAGTTGTGGTTTTAATGTAAGGAATACTCGAAGGAGGGGAAGTGGAGATGACGGCGGCGCCGTTAAAGTCACAGGTGGCACCGGTGGAAGCTTTCTTCTGGTAGTAGCTGTTAACGGCGACGTCACAGTGGTTCTTGACGGTGTTTGGTTGATAACAAGCTCCGGTCGTCTGAATCTGAGTACAGTCAGCACCTCCTCCACATGCGAAGTCTATCACCTTCTGAAGATCCAGCTCGCTCGCGTCCTTGCACACACAAACCGCCGCGTCTGTACAAAACAGAGATCTCGGATTAGCATTACACGTAAAACGTAACCAAGAAGCGAAAAGGTCTGAAGTCTGAACCATTTTGAGGCTTAAAGCCAAGGGACAAAGAAATGTTCATAGGAGATAGAAAGAAGCTTACTTGAGTAGGTAACCATGAAAGAGAGAAGAAACAGAGGAAGCAAAAGCGCCATGACTGCTAAAACTTGATCGAACTTGTTTAACCCTGACAGTACCACAAATGTGAGTTTGGGAGTTTGTTAGAGAGAGAGATCTTGATTCAATGATCAACAATTTTTATTATTTATGATGTTTCTTGGGTACTAATAAGCAGCATACCCTAAGGCTTAAGTAAAGAAAAGTTCAGATATTATTGTGTGATGACTTGTAAATGTTAGATTTTGAGTACTCAAAGCAATGTGGGTCTCATGTAACAGAAGGTAAAAAGCATGCTTGTCGTCTAGTCAATATGTGTGACTAGTCAGTCGACGCACGTAATATTGTAGTGGAACTTTATGTGATAAAAAAACTAGCTTTGTTAATCGTTATTTACTAATTTGTCACCTCAATTTACGTACACCTGATGCATTCTTTTTACATCTTTTTTTAGGATTTAGATAGAGACATAGAGTGTAGCTTTCCACAAAGACAACAAAAGATGCATGCACACGTTTGCAAAGTTAGAACTGTTGTAAATGTTATTAAACATATTATAAGATATAAACTATATAATACTATAAAGATAATTTTAAAGTTGTAGTTTGATTTTGAAGCACTAACCGATGAAAACTAATGGAGAAAAACAGGGAAAAGAACACAAAAAATTGGAAATAGTACTTTAAAGGCAAAAACTTAAGTGTTAAGTACTTTTAAGGCAAAGCGGCTAAGCGAGGGAGCCATGTGCAAGACAAACTTTGCATCCGCATTACAACACGTGTGATTTTGTCACAACAAGTCACACTAATAATCCGAGAATTCAATGGTTGTTACTTGTTAACAAGACGACCAAAAAATAGCTAGAAACGTTACCTCTTACGTAAGGAATAACGTTTTTTTTTCCAGTAATTTAATTTAACTTTAATCGGTCGTTTGAAAAGTATTTTTTTTTTTTTTTTTTTTTTTTAAAAAATGTTTCTCTCTCTCTTCTCTCTCTTTTATTTTTCAGAGAGAAAAAAGCTTTTCCGTTCAAATTTCGCCGGTGGTTGTTCTCCGGTGAATTTTGTCTCGTTTGATAGGCGAGTTTCTCGTCTAGCTGCACCGGCTCGCTCAGCGGTGTGGGCTGGCTTTGCTTCCGGCGTAGATGGCTTCGTTAGCATCTTCGTCCGGCTATGTTTCCGACACCTGTGGTCGGCTTGTTTCCGGCATGGAGCGGCTTGTATAGCGGCGGTGGTTGGTTTCTTTGTTATTCCGACGGCCTAGTGCGGCTATAGTCTCGGCTAATCCTTACCGCTTTTTATTTTCTTTTGTTATGTTTTATCTTTTGTCTAAAGTTCAAGGTAAAATCTCATATGGCGATGATATATGTGGCGCTCGATTTCGAAGAATCAAGTCTCTAAGGTTTGTGCTTTACCGGAGGAGTATCGAGCTTCGAATTTAACTCCTAGTTGGATTAGATCTCAAGATCTAGAGAATCAATAAAGACTTGGAAGTTTAAAAAAAAAAGCGCAAGAAGATCTGATATAGCATGGTATCGTGGAAAAGATTCTACAAAATGAACTGAATCGTTTATCCTCAGTAGGAATCAGAGGTGATTCAGTTGCTGATTTGAGAATCGTTAACTTTTTCACATGATTACCAGGTCAAGAAATTATCATTCGGTCTGTTTTCTTTTTGCCGGCGAATGTTCCAAACCGGCGGTAGACTAGACGATGATGACGAGCTGGACGCGTGTTCACAAAGCGATGAAGTTCGATGTAATAAGCATCTGTGCGGCAAGCTTCCACGTTGAGAGATGTGATCGTGCGTTTTAATTATCTTTACTTAAAGGTTTACTTTGTTGGGCTTGGTTTTCATTTTCAGGTCCAGTAGAAAATAATGTCCTATGTTTGTCTTGGTTTACTCATAACCAAGCATTGTATGGTTTCTTTGGTTTTATTAATAATAATAATACACTAGTTGACAAAAAAAAAGAAAAGTATTTTTTTAGTAAATAAAAGTTCAAATATAAACATAAGTTAAAGTAAATACAGTTTATAAAGTATCTATTTATAAAAACATATACGTATGAAGACTCGTTTTCGCTACGGTTCTGATGGGGTTCCTTTAACCAAGCCACTACCTATATGAGTCGCTTTTAAAAAAAAAGGTCAAGAAATAGTGTAAGTTTTGTAAAATAATATTGTCATTTGAAAAAAGTAAACTAGAGGGTTCAACGTCCTTTCTCTTAACTATTCGAGATTCATAAATATTAATAGAGTTTTATATTTTTCAAGTCCACATTTTGGTTTGTGGCCGCGTGGTGTGGTTAGAAAAGCATGGTGACGATAATCTTTGACATGGTTGGTGAATTTCGTTCACATTATAGATATATGCTAGATTCAGTGACAAAGAAAATGACATCTTTAGTATGAGGGTTTTTAATGCATGTAAAGTTCATTATGAGTTATGACATATATTTAAAGATTTTTTTCTGCGAGTTATATTTAAAAGTTATTAGAGTAATTGTAAACACTTATCAGTTAAATAAGATTCCATTGAGCGATATCATGCGGACGGACGGTAAATTTCGGTAATTTACACTAAGAATTTCTTCGAATTCAAGTCAATAATTAGAATAAGAGAACTCAATTTCTGTCGATTTTAACAATGATCACCAGGACGAAATGAAAAGCTGAAATGATCTCACTAATATTAAAAAATCTAATATAAACATGTTAAATTGAATTGGAAATGTGTACAACTCAACTATGAGATTTTCGCTTGTTCTCTTATCCGATCGTATTCACTGTTCGTGACACGTTGTTCGCTAAAATCATAAAATTGGGATATATGATCCCAAATTTTCTAGTTTCTCTTTGACTCTGGAGATGGACTCCACCTCTTCTTATACAACCTCCATGGCCGACCGCCGATGATAATGGCCTCTTCAATTTTAAGCTCGTAGGCCATTGTTTCATTTTCTTCAAATAGACACGGTTCTGCTGATTAAGGGTTTTTGTTAGACCGAACTCGATTAATAATGTTTGCCGCGCTCTTAGAGCAAAATTCTTTCTCATCATTCCTATGGGAATGAATGTGTTTCTATCATGCTGATGTCAAGTATGAAACTTATCACCAACAAGTGCCACAAGCGAAATATTTTGCTTAAATTTGTTGCAAAATTGAGTCGTTAATACCTAATATGCAAAAAGATATGTCCCAACACCAACCATTAAAAAGTAATTTTACAGAGGAGATACTCATATACATCGTTAACTAATGAAAAAAATCAAGCGTTTAAAAGTTAAAACCAACAAAATCATTATAAAATGTATATTATGTGTTTTCTTTAAAAAAAGGTTTGGGCTGTATATATTAATGGGCTGGGCTTTATACTAAAAGAACATGTCGAGCGTCAAAGACAACTCCTGAAAAAATGACATCACATTTCTGGGATAATCTCTGAAATGCCACTGCAGTCATCGAGGACAGATCGTCACGACCGGAGTTAGTGTTCTAAAAACTCATCTGAGAACTCAGAAAACCCTAAACACAGATAAACCCCAAAACTCAAAAAACAGATCTTTCCAACAATGGCGTCTCATCTCTTTACCCGATCCCGAATCTCTCTCCTCAAAACCCTAAAACCCAATCCTTTTACCTCTACTTCACCCATCAGAGCCATTTCCGGTACACCATTCCTCTCTCAAGACCCCCAGCTCGCAACCGATTCAACAGATCACGACCCATCAAATCATCAATCAACCTCCACGCCGCTTCCACCGAATCCAGCCACCGGAAGTCCTCTTTACCAAGAGAATTGGCGTAGTCCGATCCCAAACACTCCTTCCTTCAACCAATCTCTTGTTCCATTAGGATTTCTAAATCAAGCTCCTGCTGCTCGAATCAGAGCACTCTCTGAGACGCTTGACATGAACTCTCTGCTTAACATGTTTGCTGATTGGACTGCCTCGCAGCGTTGGTCTGACATGAAACAGCTTTTTGAGGTCTGGGTTCGATCGCTTGACAAGAATGGGAAGCCGAATAAGCCTGATGTGAACCTCTACAATCATTACCTTCGAGCTAATTTGATGATGGGTGCTTCGGCTGGAGACATGCTCGATCTTGTTGCGCCAATGGAAGAGTTCTCTGTCGCACCTAATACAGCGTCTTATAATCTAGTTTTGAAGGCTATGTACCAGGCAAGAGAGACTGACGCCGCCATGAAGCTGCTTGAACGGTTAGATTCTCTGAATTTGTAGACAGATTGGTTTTGTACAATGAACACTGCTTCTAGAACTAGTGTAAAGATTAAGACTTTACATGATTGAACGGTCGTATTTGCTGATAAATCAAAGGGTTATCTCTGATAGCTGTTATTGAGACTGGTGTTATGCAAAGGTAGATTTTTTTCTTTTGAAATGTATCATGACTTGATGTAATGTCGTTAGGATGCTCTTGTTGGGGAAGGAATCTCCTCCGGATGATGAATCATATGATTTGGTTATTGGAATGCATTTTGGAGTTGGGAAGAATGACGAAGCCATGAAAGTTATGGACACGGCACTGAAATCTGGTTATATGTTATCCACCACAGTCTTTACTGAATGTGTTCGTAGTTGTGTGGCCAAAGGTAGGACAGATACACTGGTCTCCATCATCGAGAGGTGTAAGGTACATATGAGTTTTTGTTATCTTCAGTTGAAATTTGAAGCTTTTGCTGTCTCGTTTATCAATTACATTTGTATTCTTGTTTTGCAGGCTGTTGATCGGAACAAGTCCCTTTGCCCTAGCTGGATACTGTGTAACTATATTGCAGAAGTTGCAATTCAAGAGGATAATAGCAAGTTAGCATTTTATGCGTTTGAATTTATGTTCAAGTGGATCACTAGAGGCGAAATGGCTAGGCCCTCAGTTATTCTTTCTGTTGATGAAGGGTTGGTAGTAGCTGGCCTTGCAACTGCTGCTAGGACTTGCAGTTCATCTTTAGTGGAAGGATCATGGACGATTCTGAAACAGAGTCTGCGTGGGAGGAAGGCAGCTAACCCTGCATCTTACATTGCAAAGATAAATGCTTATGCATCGTTGGGGAATCTGCAAAAAGCTTTCACCTCACTTCATGAACTTGAAACCGCATATGCAGACTCTGAAAAAGAAGTTGTGGAGGAAATGCTTTCACCTTTTACATCATTATACCCGCTGGTTGTGGCTTGCTCTAAGAAAGGTTTTGAGACATTGGATGAGGTATACCTCGACTCTTTAAAAGGGTAAATATTCTACATATTATCAGCTTTCTTCGCAACAAGAATTAAGGTAGGGTTATTGGCTAATTTACTAGTAGACGTAGGAAACTTCTGAAATTTAATAGAACATTCCAGAAAACCTGTTTATCAAAGTTGTGCATGATCTGAATGTTAATGCATTTTAGAGTGCTGGGATTAAGCAGATATAATGTTATGCTTATCTGACCTTGCACTGTCATATAATCCACCAGGTATACTTCCAGTTGGAGAGTTTGAGTCGAGGTGATACTCCATATAAGTCTGTTGCTGCTCTAAACTGTATAATTCTTGGCTGCGCAAACACATGGGATCTGGATCGTGCTTATCAGACGTTTGAGGCAATAAGTGCTTCCTTTGGGCTGACTCCTAATATCGATTCATACAATGCTTTACTATATGCATTTGGAAAAGTCAAGAAGGTGCTGTTTCGATGTCAAATCACTCTCTGATATTTTCTTCATGAATGAACAATTAGCCTAACGACTCTAGCCTATTTGCTTTGCAGACTTTTGAGGCCACAAATGTATTCGAGCATCTGGTTAGCATAGGTGTTAAACCTGATTCCAGGACGTATTCATTGCTGGTTGATGCTCATCTCATTAACCGGGATCCCAAATCAGCTCTGACCGTCGTTGATGACATGGTAAACCAGAATTAACAAAACAAAACCTAACCACTATGAAAAAATAATGTGTTTTGCTGACATGACTCTGAGAAACTAATACATGTTCCAATTATACAGATCAAGGCTGGATTTGAACCCTCCAGGGAGACATTGAAAAAGCTCAGAAGGAGATGTGTCAGGGAAATGGACTATGAAAACGATGATCAAGTGGAGGCATTGGCCAAGAAGTTTCAGATCAGGATGGGAACCGAGAACCGCAGGAACATGCTGTTCAACATAGACTACTCCAGGGGCCGAGCGATAAACCGATGAAACCCAAAATGAATCTATCTATATAATAGCAAACCCATTTTTAGGTTTGGTCTCATTTTCTTGGCGATACAATCGCTTGTTCACATAGTGTTGATTTTCTAGGTTTGAGTTTCTGCAGAATAAACAGAGGATGAGAGGAACAAAGTCTATCAAAGTTGACAGTTGAATCAAGTTTTTTAATCCACTTGCTTTTTATTAAAGAGAATTCTCGCTTCTTTCAATCTCAAACCCTTTGATTAGAATAACTCTCCAAATTGTAAATTTTCATGTCTCTAATAATGTGCCAATAATAGTATTCTTCGTCTATCCTTTGCAGTAACCAGTATAGTATGATAAACTTCCTCCATCTCTCTGAGACTTGCTGCATATTTTTGATCGTTTATTTAAACATGTGAAAGACTTCTAATAACAAGAGTAGTAGTTGCTGCATAAGAAAGACTTCTTGAAAGAACAATGAGTCAATGACTAGAGAGTACCTACCTAGACTTGTATCGTAGCAAGGCTATGTTATCTAAAATAGTTTTTGCGACGAATGAACTCACAAAGACAAGGCCTAGAAGATGGGCCGGCCCATTTCAGAGATCCAACAAGCTCTGCTGTATACACAAAACACAATTCACGAACAGCTTTTTAGAAGTTTTCAACACATTTTTGCGATCAAAACCCTAAAAAATGGGTGGAAGAACGGACGGAAGTGGCGGAGGAGGTAAAGAGAAAGAGGAAGAGCAAGACGGTTTATCCGTACACTCTCCCTGTAAAGCTTTACCTTCCTCCGCTTCCTCTCTCTCCAAGGTCTCTCTCTTCTTTCTCTTTCGCTCTATCTCTATACCATTTTATTCCTTAGAGATTTTAAAGGTTCCTCTTTTATTGGATTTGTTTCTCAGGAGCAGTCTCAGGTTGAATTAGAGCTCAGGTTATTAGAAGCTCTTGAAATCTATCCTCCTGTCAAACTCCGAGGCAAGCTTCAAATCTCAAATCTTGATCCTTAAGAATATAAGTCTCTAAAAATGTTTCCTTTTCTATCATGGTAGTGATCAGAAACCGTAATAAACCATTACTAAGGCGAATCATTTCAATGTCTCTTGTTCTTGGACATTGATCAGTTCTTTGGTTTCTTGATTTCTTCTACTAATGGGATTATGATGGTTTGCACTTTGCAGGGATACATCGCCACTTTGTTCTTTATGGTCTGATGGAGTATCTCGGAAGAAGGTTTGTTTTCAGAGTTTCTTTCATACTTCCAGTCCATGAGTCTCTGATCCTTATTGATTGAGTCTTTCTATTCCTATCCATAGCTTTGACCGACCGTTCACAGCAGATCAGGTTCTGCAACTACTCGACCGTTTCTACAACATCGAGATGCTGGTTAGTAGTAATTACAACAAGCATTGATTGTTATGTCCCATAGCTTTAGGTTCACTTCCTGGTGTTGTTTAGAGTTGGGGTAATGGTTTTAATAATCTGTTACCTCTGGTTTTTTATAGAAATCAGATGATGAGGACATAGACATTCTGAATCACGAGGAAGACTTTACCTTGCCGCAGAGTTACTTTGATAAGGAAGAAGAATGACAGAGCAAGAAGAAAAGATCTTTGACAAGGAAGAAGAATGACAGAGCAAGTAGAAAAGATCTTTGCTTCATTCATCTTCTCCCATCTTTTTGTATATGGTTAGGTTTGTCTTCAGCTCGTATGATAAGTTTTTTTCTGTATATTCTGCAGTTTTAATGTCAATAAAACCATCAGGATCAATGGTCTTTTTTTACTCTGCCGGGAGAGTTAATAATCATAACAAGCTTTTTGCTCTTTTCATGTTGACATTTAGAGCCATGGTTGTGTTTGTTTGGTTGGCAATTTTTAATATACATCTGATTGATATGTATATTGGAAATGTATAACAGCAAAAGCATATCAGATCAAATCATAATATAATTGCATAACATAAAATACTTGATGACATGAAAATTGACAACAAAATAAAGAAGAAGAAAAGTAAAACAAAAAAAAAGAAACAATATAGGATTGAATTCAATCGTCTCTGATCCCATCTTCCTGATGAAACCAAGCTATGGAATTTAAAGGAATTTGCCTCCCACTGCTGGGCATCGTATCTAAATCTCATTCAACGTCCAAGCCCTTTGATCAGTTCTGGAACAAACAAACAAACAAACAAAACAACATTAAGCTTTTGACCCAACAAGAACAATTCATACACTTCAGTTTAAGGTGAATTACTACCTCAGTGGCATCTGCAGGCTTAGCCTGTTCTTGCTTGGGTTCTTCAGTCTTGATGTTGTCTTCTCCTGAAAAACATAGCAAAACCATTGCTTAAGCTCATAACATTTTGAAAAAAATCATGTGTGATTTTCAGACAAACCTCCATCTTCAGGAAGATCAGAAGTCCAGAGGGTGAGGTTGTCTCTCAGGAGCTGCATGATCAAAGTGCTGTCCTTGTACGACTCCTCACTTAGAGTATCTAACTCCGCAATCGCCTCATCGAAGGCTTGCTTCGCCAAATGGCAAGCTCTGCAACAGTTTTACCACGTTACAACAAAGTTGGCACCTGATGGTATACAATTATTGATGTTTTAGATTGAGACCTTTCAGGAGAGTTCATGATCTCGTAGTAGAAAACAGAGAAGTTAAGAGCAAGGCCAAGACGAATCGGATGGGTCGAAGGAAGCTCAGTGCTTGCAGCTTGTGTTGCAGCCTAATCAAAACCGATGCATCAGACCAAAGTTCTCCTAATCTACTAGTGTTTGAGAAAAAAAACATATTCGATACCTCATAGCCTTTAAGCGACTGTTCAGCAGCTTCCTTCCTCTCTTGCTCGGTCTTAAACTCAGCCAAGTAACGGTAATAATCTCCTTTCCTACAAATTTCAGATCAAATTGAGTTTCATTTGCAGATGATGATGGTGCAAGAAAGAAGAGTGTTTTTGTTATCACATCTTGTAGTAGAAGACGGTAGCTTCCCCTGAGGTAGCGTGAGGGATGAGATGCTGATCAATGATGGAGAGAATGTCTTGGCAAATGTTAGCGAGCTCATCTTCAACCTTTTGGCGATAACCCTTGATATGTTTCACATTTGATTCATTGCCTTTGGACTCTTCTTTCTGCTCGATCGATGACATTATCCTCCACGAAGCTCTTCTTGCTCCGATTACGTTCTTGTAACCAACTGACAACAGATTCCTCTCTTCCACCGTCAGCTCGCTATTCACCTTCGCCACTTTCTTCATCGTCTCCACCATCTCTGCACATTATCATTACCAAATCCTTAAAAGTTCTAAAGATTCTCGCAATTAAAATCAACATAATTAAGAGATTATGTTACCGTCGTATCGTTCGGCTTGTTCGGAGAGCTTAGCCATATAGACAAAAGTCTCTCTCTCTTTGTCGGATCCTGATGATGACATTTTGTTCCGATAATCTGTCTGAAAACAGAGATCTTGATTTATGGGTTTGTTTGTTTTTTTGTCTTGGTGAGATAAATAAAATGATCGAAAGAGATGGGAGGGAAAGAGAGAAATATAAAAAAAGTTTAGAAGATAGTTCGCAAATGGCGGAACAAGACTGAATCTCAACCTTGAGATCCGAACGCGCCTCTGTGTCTGCGCAATTCCTGGGTTTTTCTTCGCTATTCTTTCTAACTAACTTAACGAACTTTACGCTCCCTAACGACACCGTTTTATCTAATCATTTATATAGTTTTAATTACTTCTACTAACATCAATGGGGATGTAGCTCAAATGGTAGAGCGCTCGCTTTGCATGCGAGAGGCACGGGGTTCGATCCCCCGCATCTCCATTTTTGAAAAACACTCAAAATCGGATTCACCCTAATTTTCTTTTAGGTATCTAATATAGTTTTGTCCATCTTTTTCTACATTCGCCGGAAAACTTATGGCTATCGCCGTCGTTTCTTCACGGAGGATGATTAACATCGGGAACCCAATTTGGCGATTCTTCATGCTCAAACACCGCTTCTTTTCCACCGAGTTAACTCCAACCACCATCACACCGATAAACCAAGACCATCTCCTCCGAGTCTGTACAATTCTCTACCAGCAACAGAACTCGCCTGATTCACGTCTCGTCTCTAAACTCTCCTCCACCAAATTTCAACTAACACACGAGTTCTTCCTCCAAGTCTGCAACAATTTCCCCCTCTCATGGCGTCCGGTACACCGTTTCTTCCTCTATTCTCAGATTCACCACCCTGATTTCGTCCACACTTCCACTACCTCTAATAAGATGCTTGCAATCATCGGGAACTCAAGAAACATGGATCTTTTCTGGGAATTGGCTCAAGAGATCGGGAAACATGGATTGGTTAACGATAAGACGTTTCGGATTGTGTTGAAAACACTTGCTTCTGCTCGAGAATTGAAGAAATGTGTTAACTTTTTCCATCTGATGAACGATTTTGGGTATTTATATAATGTGCAAACGATGAATAGAGGAGTGGAGACTCTGTGTAAGGAGAAGCTTGTGGAAGAAGCTAAGTTTGTTGTTATTAAGCTGAGAGAGTTTATCAAACCTGATGAGATTACTTATAGGACGATGATTAAAGGGTTTTGTGATGTCGGTGATTTGATTAAAGCTGCTAAGCTTTGGAATTTGATGATGGATGATGGATTTGAGGTTGATATTGAAGCTGGTAAAAAGATTATGGAGACATTTCTAAAGAAGAACCAGTTTGATGAAGCTTCGAAGGTCTTTCATGTGATGGTTTCGAAGAGAGGTTGTGATTTAGATGGGTGTTTCTACAGGGTTATGATTGATTGGTTATGTAAAAACGGTAGGATTGATATGGCACGTAAGGTGTTCGATGAAATGCGTGAAAGAGGTGTTCAGGTGGATAACTTAACTTGGGCGTCGATAATCTATGGGCTGTTGGTTAAACGAAGAGTTGCAGAGGCGTATAAGACAGTGGAAGCGGTTGAGAATCCGGATATTAGTATCTATCATGCATTGATAAAAGGGTTGGTGAAGATTAAACGGGCAAGCGAGGCAACAGAGGTTTTCAGGAAGATGATACAGAGAGGGTGCGAGCCTATAATGCATACGTATCTTATGTTGCTGCAAGGACATTTGGGTAGGAGAGGAAGGAAAGGACCAGACCCGTTAGTGAATTTCGATACGATATTCGTTGGAGGTATGATCAAGGCAGGGAAACGGTTGGAAACTACAAAGTATGTTGAGAGAACGTTGAAGAGAGGACTTGAAGTTTCTAGATTTGATTATAGCAAGTTCTTGCATTGTTATTCTAATGAGGAAGGTGTGTTTATGTTTGAAGAGATGGCCAAGAAACTTAGAGAAGTGAGCTTGTTTGATTTGGCTGATATATTCCAGAGGTATGGAGAGAAGATGACTACACGAGAGAGAAGGAGAGATAGAGAATAAAAGTCATAGACACAATTCTCTAACATTGTAAATACAAATTTGAAGTTTTTTCTTTGTCTGGAAAGCAATGGTTGTCTCAAACAAGCAGACAAAGAGAAAAATTCCAGCTGAGTTTAGATAGAAATGGTGATATTGTTTGTGAAATAAAACTAATCAACCGAGTAATCAACGAAAGTACAAAGGGTATTAAATCATGAATTGTCTCTCCGACAACAACCTAACACTCTCTACGTAATTCGAAAAAACTATTGCTCTCTTAGAACGACCCTTGAACTCATCGTCTGCGGATACATCAATCTTAATCTTTGTAAAACTATTCTTGCCGGGATTGTAATGGAAGACATAAAACTCATCAGAATATTGCCATGGTGCGAGGATAAACTCACCCGTATGAGTAGTGCCTCTAACATATAGATAGCGAAATAAACTCTTCCATGGTTCAATACTGAAAGTTATTTTCTTCAACCATTCATGTTTTGCGCCATCCTGATTCATAACCCACACATCAAATATATATGATGTAGTTGGAATGGCTATGGCTACTTTCCCCTCGAAGTTTAATAAAGTGTCACTATATATTGTTGGAGTTCGAATCTCTTCAGGTAAACTAGTAAAAAGATTCATATTGTCAGCCCTCAAATCAAATCTCATTAAGCTCAGTTGTGAAATACCTTGCCCCGTTTTAGCAACATAATACACAAGACCATCTATGCAAATACCGTTAGACCAAGGACGGTGATTAGGAATGCTAGTAGAATCGATCATTTTCCATGGCTTTTTTTCTCCCAGTGTGAACACTTGATGTTGAGATGATGGGTCTTGTCGAAGGCCATGAAGTCTTTCCGTCATACACAAGACTTTGTATTGATCACTAACTGGATCATATCCGAAAAAACTTTTTATACCCATTCTCCTTGTTCTGACACTTGGTAAAGTTATGGATCTACCAGTGCTAGGGTTAGTTACGATTTGCTCTCGACCACATCCAACGCTTATCAAACCATTAGCATAATGATAATAGTACTCTATCAGATTAGGATATGGGGACGACGGACATGTCAAACGCGATAGAAAAGACGTTGATGAGAAGAAGTACAACCTTTGGTCCTTAGATTTAAAGCTGGAAGGCAAGTTGTGGCACGTCCTGATTATAGGGGCGGAAGCGATTAGGGTACAAGGCTGCGATGGGAAAGATGTGATGAAACTTGGACTGCGGATAGTTGTTGCACATAACTTGGATAGTGTGAGAAACCTAGCTACAGATTTCAAAGGCAACCTCTTAAATATCTCGATCTCTAGGTCCAGAGGGAGTTGATCAAACTTGTTCTTCTTTTCCGACTTTTGTAGATTCTTGTTGTTGTTCACGGTTTTGATCTTTTTGCTGCGTGTCCTCATGATCAATCGCTCTTGTTTCGAAACCCTAAATCAAGAATCCAGCACCGTGGACTTGGAATTGAGCAAAATCACAAGCCAAAAGACGATCAAAGAAGAGAAATGATCATCATATATAGGACAAATGGATTTGATGGTGATGATAAGCGATTGTAGAGAGAGGGAGAAGAGATAAAGAAGAAGATAATTGTTATTTTTTGGTTGATTGATTCTAACCAATGGAGAAAGGTTTTACATATAGTGTAGTGTGTTTGCTAAACCAAAAAATACGTAACTAAACCAGATATTAACCAAAGATTATTAAATCTTGGGAAAAAAAAAACCAAAATAGACCAATTTGCAAAATGTGCAGCTGGTCTGAGTTTTGAATGCTCAACAAAGCTTTGCAGCGGTATACATCCATCTCCGATTTTTTATCCCACAGAATTTCCTCCAGCCATAAACGAACCTGTACCAAACCGGCCGGGAACAAGTTGGTGCATGTATCACGAAAAACACTATTTCTTAACTACTTGTCCAAGAATGTTCAATACATATTTGCTACCTTTATAGTATCTGACATTGTAAAATGTAAATACTAAATACAAATTTGAAGTTTCTTCTTTGTTTGGAAAGCAATGGTCGGTCTCAATGTGATAATGGAGGCGTCACTGTGAACAATCATGACTTTGTTCCTGTGGGCACTAATGACAAAGAGGAAGCTTCTGTTCCAAGTTTGTTTTAATGGCCGGAGTCCTGACTACATCTCTTTAAGTTGAAACATTTGGGTTAACACTGTCCAAAATAAAATATGACAAAGAAAGCAAACCATTTGTATTGATCAATACGGCAAAAAAACATGCGGATTGGGCATGAAATGTCCTATCATCGGACGAGTCATGTGCCTACAATTTTGATGCCAAAAATTGTGGGCTGTGCACAAGTTGGCTCATCGTGGACTGTGGATTCGAGCGGTTTAATTGGGGTGGGTTAACCCCTTTGACACTCCTAATTTATTAGTCTTGTTTAAGTATACAGAACCCCAAAAAAATGTAACAGAAGACTAGTCTAAAAGATAAGTGTTAGTGTCAATTCCGTATTTCCTTTGTCACAAGGTGTGACTCACAAGTCACAACCATCTAAAGACTATACTGTAGAGATTCAGAATGTATAGTTTTGCATCAAAAATTTATGACGAAAAAGCCAGCGTTAATTGGCATTGAATTTACCACTAATTTACGATGTATGTAGACGTCCTTTATTGTTTGTCACTTTCTTCTTTGGAAACTTGTCCCAAAACAAAGAGAATCCATATATACACCAAATGAAATAAATATCAAAGAGGGTGTGAATTGGTATAGGCACGTTCTCTCTTCGATTTAAGACCATCCTTATTGATTATGAGACTTTTGTTAGTTATAAGACATATCTCTTAACTTAAGAGTTGTCTTAAGAGACCATCAGTAAGGATATATGGTCTAACAATTCCTCACAAGCTACAACCTTTGAAAAGAGACTCATACACACTTGTTACCGTTACAATTTTCATTAAAAAGTCCAAAGCCTTTCCTTGTGACCTACCCCTCTGTCTAACTATCTCTCTCTTCCTCTTCTATTATTTTCCATTAGAGCAACCTCATTGAGGGTCTCTTATTTTTAGCTCTTAACTATTTTTTAAACTTAAAATTTGCTTTTTCAAAGTTAAGAGCCCCATGATTGTTTCTTAACTATTTTCTCTTCCAATGGTAATCTCTAATGAGGTTCTTAAGAAGAAGAAAAAACCAAATTTTTGCAAAACAATGTCTTTTGTGATAAAACAAGAAAATGTACAAGCATTCATAGAAACAAAACTACTATGTTTGGAACCAAAACTCAAAATTAAACTCAAAGCCATTAACTGATTCTGTTTTGCCATTCACAAGTGATTCAGTTTTGGGACTTACATCACTATGCCAAAACTATGGTGCTGATGAGGAAGACTGAATGATGTACGTCGAATCAAATCTAGAATCGTGTTAGAAACTTAATTGTAGAGATTACTGTCATTACTAATTTTGCATATTGAAGTAGGTTTCTGCAATTTAACAAAGAGTTTATTGTTTTTTAGAATTGCAACATTTTGGTTACATGATATGGGTAATGAAGTAGTTTTCAAGTTAAAACCCTGCTTCATTCTTCTCAAGTAATCACAGGGTTGGAACTGAATACACACAACTCCAAAAAGGTATGACATTTAACATTTGAGATTATCACCACGTTCCTTAATTGGACTTCATCTCAATGTCTGCATCATCGTTAGTAAGAGTATCTGGAGAATCTCGCGGTAAAAGACCGAGAAGAGGCAGAGGAAGCAATGAGCTAAGATTGCATAGGATAATAAGCGTAGATAGGTTACCAAAACTGTCTTTTGTGATGCCGAATACTTGAGTCAACCCTGCAACCTGGTTACTATGTCCGATCTCCATATACACAAATAGTGCATTTAGGTAGTATACTTAATTAAACAAAAAAAACAAAAAAACGAGAGACTTGAAAATAAGCATAAGTATCAACAGAGTAATTAACGAAAGTACAAAAAACAAGATTATGGGTATCAAATCATGAATTGTCTCTCCGACAACAATCTAACACTCTCTCTGTAATCCGAAAAGACAAATGCTTTATAACTACGACCCTTGAACTCACAGTGTGCGGAACCTTGATCAATCTTAATCTTGGTAAAACTATTCTTGTCGGGATTGTAATGGAAGACATAAAACTCATCAGAATAGTACGATGGTGCGAGAATAAACTCACCCGTACAAGTAGTGCCTCTGACGCGTAAACAACGAAATAAACTCTTCCAAGGTTCAATACTGAAAGTTATTTTCTTCAAACATTTATCCTGATCCAGAACCCACACATCGAATGTAAATGATGTAACTGGAGCGGCCATGGCTAGTTTCCCCTTGTAGTTTATCAAAGTGTCACTATATATTGTTGGAGTTCGAATCTCTTCAGGTAAACTAGTAAAAAGATTCATATTGTCAGCCCTCAAATCAAATCTCATTAAGCTCAGTTGTGACATACCTTGCCCCGTTTTAGCAACATAATACACAACGCCATCTATGCACACACCGTTAGACCAAGGACGTACGGTGATCAGGAATGCTAGTACTATCTATCATTCTCCATGGCTTTTTTTCTCCCAGTGTGAACACTTGATGTTGAGATGATGGATCTTGGTTATGGCCATGAAGTCTCTCCGTCATGGACAACACTTTGTATTGATCAGTAACAGGATCATACCCGAAAAAACTTTTTACGACCCTTCTCCTTGTTCTGACACTTGGTAAAGAGATGAATCTACCAGTACTGGGGTTAGTTACGATTTGCTCTCGACCATATCCAACGCTTATCAATCCATTAACATAATGATAATGGTACTCTACGTAATTAGGATACGGGGACGGACATGTCAAACGTGATAGAAAAGACGATGATGATGAGAAGAAGTACAAATTTTGGTGTCCCCTAGATTTAAAACGCCTGGGAGGGAAATTGATTACAGGGGCGACAGCGATTAGGGTACAAGGCTGCGACGGGAAGGATTTGATGAAGCTTGGACTGCGGATAGTTGTTGCACATAACTTGGATAGTGTGAGAAACCTAGCTACAGATTTCAAAGGCAACCTCCTAGATATCTCGATCAATAGGTCCAGAGGCAGTTGATCAAACGTGTTTTTATCTTCCGACTTTTGTAGATTCTTGTTGTTGTTCACGGTTTTGGTCTTTTTGCTACGTGTTCTCATGATCAATCGCTCTTGCTTCCAAACCCTAAAAATAGCAGAGAAGTGACAAAAGAAGATGATAATTGATTCTAATGTGTTCGCTTTGGTTGATTGATTTTAGCTAATGGAGAAAGGTTTACATATACTCCCTCCGTTTTCGAATAGTTGTCGTTTTAGAGTTTTTTTTTTGTTTTAAATTAGTTGTCGTTTTAAGGTAATAATGTAATTTATGCCAATAACTACCCAAATTACCCTCATTTTATTGAACACAAATTATTTGTAAATAATTACTTGTCATTTTTATGAGGTTAATATAGTCATTGTATACCTTTTCTTAATTTGTCCAAATACAGTTAAAACGACAACTTTTAAAAAACAGAGAGAGTATATAATATATATAATGTGTTTGCTAAACCTAATAAACAAACCAAAAAATACGTAACTAAACCAGATATTAACCAAAGATTATTAAATTTTGGGAAAAAAAACAAAATAGACCAATTTGCAAAATGTGCAGCTCTGAGTTTTGAATGCGCAACACAGCCTTGCAACGGTATACATCCATCTCCGATTTTTTATCCCGCAGACAAAGAGAAAAGGTGTAACTGATTTTAGAAAGAAATGGTAATTTTGTTTATGAAATAAAAACTAATTAATCAAAGTTAACCCAACAATATTTGCAGCTAGAAGCAGAACAATCCATTCACCAAACCAAACCATTCAGCATACGAAATGCCTTAGAAAGCTCTGATCATACCTCCTAGCTACTAGATTATTAGAGCATAGGTGAAAGCAACACTAGTTTGTTATAGTTCTGCAAGTCTTATGTCGAACCAATGGGGGCGCTTTGTCAGACGCGCTTGGTGTTGCCATCCGGGTTGACCGTAGCTCATGTGATAATGAAGGCTTCACTGTGAACAATCATGAATTTGTTCCTGTGGGCACTAATGAGAAAGAGGAAGCTTCTGCTCCAAGTTTGTTTTAATGGCCTGACTACATGTCTTTAAATTGAAACATTTGGGTTTAACACTGTCCAAAATAAAAATATGACAAAGAAAACAAACCATTTGGACTATCAAACGGCGAAGAACAAGCGGACTGGACATGAATTTTCCTATCATTGGACGAGTCAAGGCTACAATTTTGATGCCAAAAAATGTGGGCTGCGCACAAGTTGGCTCATTGTGGACTGTGGATTCGAGCGGTTTAAGTGGGGTAGGTCAACCCCTTTCATGACACTCCTAATTTATTAGTCTTGTTTAAGTATATAGAACACCAAACAAAAATGTAACAGAAGTGCAAAAGATAAGTGCTAGAGTCAATTCCGTATTTCCTTTGTCACAAGTTGTGACTCACAACCATCTAAAGACTATACTGTAGAGATTCAGAATGTATGTAGAGATTCCTTTATTGTTCGTCACTTTCTTCCTTGGAAGCTTGTCCCGAAACAAAGTGAATCCATGTATGTCCCGAATGAAATCAAAATCAAAGAGGGTGTGAATTGGTATAGGCAGGTTCTCTCTTTTTTTTATAAGGCAGGTTCTCTTCTTCGATAGAACAATTCCCCACAAGCTACAACCTTACACTTGTTACGTACAGTTACAATTTTCATTAGAAAATCCAAACCCTTTCCTTAAAAACTTTAAAACTTGTGACCTACTCTTATCTCTCTCTGTCTCTTCTATAATTTTCCATTAGCATATAAACATTCATGGTTTTAAAGTAAACCAAGCATAAGTATTATAAATTTAACCCAACATGTGCCACTAGAAGCAGAACAAACCATTCACCAAAACAAACCACATCATTTGAAACATACTACTTGGTTTCTATGTCCGATCTCCATGTTGAAAGTTAAACTTGATTTTGAATCAAGTTTAATTATTGGGTTAATTACCCAATAATAATTTGATGGGCCAAATCCAAGTTCTAGAGTTTTCTCTACAAATATCATCATCTCCACCTCCTTAAAAAGTTCTAGAAATTCTCTAGAATGATCTTCCATCACCTCCTTAAACATAATAATCTAGATATTTTTATAGAATAATCTAGATAATTGTATTATTATAATCTAGATATTATGATGGAATAATCTAGATTTAGAATTAAAATATTTTAGATATTTTGTAGTTTGGAGGCTATAAATACCACTTCCCTCTCTCATTTGTAGTAAGATTGTGAAGTTGTCTTCAAGTTAAAATCAAAGTAATAAAAGTTCTATTTCCTAAAACTCTCTCTCAAACACTTAAACACTTTCTCCATTACCTCTAAAAGAATTTTACTCTAACAAAGTGGTATCAGAGCTTGAAGATCCTAAAAATGGCGAGTAACAATGTTCCCTTCCAAGTTCCAACGCTCACAAAGAGCAACTATGATAATTGGAGTCTACGAATGAAGGCTATCCTAGGAGCACATGACGTGTGGGAGATAGTCGAGAAAGGTTTCATTGAACCGGAGAATGAAGGTAGTCTTTCTCAAACTCAAAAGGATGGTTTGAGAGACTCAAGAAAGAGAGACAAGAAAGCTCTCTGTCTAATCTATCAAGGATTAGACGAAGATACGTTCGAGAAGGTTATTGAAGCTACGTCGGCCAAAGAAGCATGGGAGAAGCTTCGAACCTCTTACAAAGGTGCCGATCAAGTCAAGAAGGTACGTCTTCAAACTCTAAGAGGAGAATTTGAAGCATTGCAAATGAAGGAAGGTGAACTCGTCTCCGATTACTTCTCAAGAGTGTTGACGGTTACTAATAACCTTAAAAGAAACGGAGAGAAGCTAGATGACGTGAGAATCATGGAGAAAGTTCTTAGATCGTTGGATCCAAAATTTGAGCATATTGTCACTGTCATTGAAGAAACAAAAGATTTAGAGGCTATGACAATAGAGCAACTTCTTGGGTCATTACAAGCTTATGAAGAAAAGAAGAAGAAGAAAGAAGATATTGTTGAACAAGTCCTCAAGATGCGGATTACTAAAGAAGAAAATGGCCAAAATTACCAAAGACGAGGTGGTGGTCAAGTACGAGGACGAGGTCGTGGATATGGAAACGGACGAGGTTGGAGGCCATATGAAGACAACACAAACCAAAGAGGAGAAAACTCATCAAGAGGCCGTGGGAGAGGAAGCCCGAAATCAAGATATGATAAATCAAGTGTCAAATGTTACAATTGTGGGAAGTTTGGACATTATGCTTCCGAATGTAAAGCTCCTAGCAACAAAAAAGTCGAGGAGAAGGCCAACTACGTTGAAGAACAAGTCCAAGAAGAAGACATGTTATTAATGGCTAGTTACAAGAAAGGTGAACATGAAGAGAATCATAAGTGGTACCTTGATAGTGGTGCAAGTAATCACATGTGCGGGAGCAAAAGTATGTTCGTGGAGCTTGATGAATCGGTGAGAGGAAATGTGGCTTTAGGAGATGAATCGAAGATGGAGGTAAAAGGCAAAGGAAAAATTCTCATCCGATTGAAGAATGGAGATCATGGAGGTAAAAGGCAAAGGAAAAATTCTCATCCGATTGAAGAATGGAGATCATCAATTTATATCAAATGTTTACTATATTCCGAGCATGAAGACAAACATCTTGAGTCTTGGACAACTCTTAGAGAAAGGTTATGATATTCGACTAAAAGATAATAACCTTTCTATAAGAGACCAAGAAAGCAATCTCATTACCAAGGTGTCAATGTCGAAAAATAGAATGTTTGTCCTTAACATTCGAAATGACATCGCACAATGTCTCAAGATGTGCTACAAGGAGGAGTCTTGGCTTTGGCATCTTCGATTTGGGCATCTAAATTTTGGAGGATTGAAGTTGCTTTCGAAGAAAGAAATGGTGAGAGGACTACCTTGTATCAATCATCCAAATCAAGTGTGTGAAGGATGTCTACTTGGAAAGCAATTCAAAATGAGCTTTCCAAAGGAGTCAAGTACAAGAGCTCAAAAACCGTTAGAGCTAATACACACGGATGTGTGTGGTCCGATCAAGCCCAAATCACTTGGTAAAAGTAACTACTTCCTTCTCTTTATTGATGATTTTTCAAGAAAAACATGGGTTTACTTTTTGAAAGAAAAATCCGAGGTGTTCGAGAACTTCAAAAGGTTTAAAGCCCATGTTGAGAAGGAAAGTGGTCTTACAATCAAATCCATGAGATCCGACCGTGGAGGAGAGTTTACATCGAAGGAGTTTTTAAAGTATTGTGAAGATAACGGCATTCGAAGACAACTAACGGTGCCAAGATCCCCTCAACAAAATGGTGTAGCGGAAAGAAAGAATAGAACAATTCTTGAGATGGCGAGGAGCATGCTCAAAAGTAAGAGACTACCAAAAGAGTTGTGGGCGGAAGCGGTCGCGTATGCGGTTTATCTATTAAACCGATCTCCAACAAAAAGTATCTCGGGAAAAACACCACAAGAAGCATGGAGCGGAAGGAAGCCCGGTGTTTCTCATTTAAGAGTCTTTGGAAGCATTGCTCATGCTCATGTACCAGATGAGAAGCGGAGTAAACTAGATGACAAAAGTGAGAAGTACATCTTCATTGGTTATGATAACAACTCCAAAGGCTATAAGCTCTATAATCCCGATACGAAGAAGACAATAATTAGTCGAAATGTCGTTTTCGATGAAGAAGAAGAATGGGATTGGAAATCAAATGAAGACGATTATAACTTCTTTCCACACTTTGAAGAAGATGACTCGGAGCTAACAAGAGATGAGCCACCAAGAGAAGAACCCACTACACCACCAACTTCACCAACAAGTTCTCAAGGAGAAGAAAGCTCAAGCGAGAGGACTCTTCATTTTAGAAGTTTACAAGAGCTCTACGAGGTAACCGAAAATCAAGACAACCTTACTTTATTTTGTCTATTTGCGGAGTGTGAACCCATGGATTTCCAAGAAGCCATTGAAAAGAAGACTTGGAGAAATGCCATGGATGAAGAGATAAAGGCGATAAAAAAGAATGATACATGGGAGCTAGCTTCACTTCCAAATGGGCACAAGGCGATAGGTGTGAAGTGGGTGTATAAAGCAAAGAAAAATTCTAAAGGAGAAGTGGAAAGATACAAAGCAAGATTAGTGGCCAAAGGTTATAGTCAAAGAGCCAGAATCGACTATGACGAAGTATTTGCTCCCGTTGCTCGTCTAGAAACGGTTAGACTAATCATTTCACTAGCGGCTCAAAACAAGTGGAAGATACATCAAATGGATGTCAAGTCGGCCTTCTTAAATGGTGACCTTGAAGAAGAAGTTTACATTTAGCAACCACAAGGCTACATAGTCAAAGGAGAAGAAAACAAAGTCTTGAGGCTAAAGAAGGCGCTTTACGGATTAAAACAAGCCCCAAGAGCTTGGAATACTCGAATTGACAAGTACTTCAAGGAGAAAGACTTCATCAAGTGTCCATATGAGCATGCACTCTATATCAAAATTCAAAAAGACGATATATTGATTGCATGCTTATATGTAGATGACTTGATATTCACGGGTAACAATCCAAGCATGTTCGAAGAATTCAAGAAAGAGATGACGAAGGAGTTCGAGATGACGGATATTGGATTGATGTCTTACTACCTCGGAATTGAAGTAAAACAAGAAGACAATGGAATCTTCATTACTCAAGAAGGCTATGCTAAGGAGGTACTTAAAAAGTTTAAGATGGATGACTCGAACCCTGTGACCACACCAATAGAATGCGGAATCAAATTATCAAAGAATGAAGAAGGGGAAGGAGTGGATCCAACAACCTTTAAGAGCTTGGTTGGAAGCTTGAGATACTTAACATGCACAAGGCCCGATATTTTATATGCGGTCGGAGTTGTTAGTCGTTACATGGAGCATCCAACAACAACTCATTTCAAGGTGGCCAAGAGGATTCTTCGCTATATCAAAGGTACCATAAACTTTGGCTTACACTATTCTACTTCTAATGATTACAAGCTTGTTGGATATAGCGATAGCGATTGGGGTGGAAACATAGATGACCGAAAAAGCACAAGTGGTTTCGTGTTTTATATTGGAGATACGGCTTTTACATGGATGTCGAAGAAGCAACCGATTGTCACTCTATCCACTTTTGAAGCGGAGTATGTAGCGGCTACTTCATGTGTGTGCCATGCTATTTGGTTAAGAAATCTTTTAAAGGAGTTAAGCTTGCCACAAGATGAACCAACGAAGATATTTGTGGATAACAAGTCGGCAATAGCATTGGCGAAGAACCCGGTCTTCCATGATCGAAGTAAACACATTGACACACGCTATCACTACATTAGAGAGTGTGTTAACAAGAAGGACGTGCTATTGGAGTATGTGAAGACACATGACCAAGTAGCCGATATTTTCACCAAGCCTCTCAAGCGCGAAGATTTTATCAAGATGAGGAGTTTGCTTGGAGTAACAAAATCAAGTTTAAGAGGGGGTGTTGAAAGTTAAACTTGATTTTGAATCAAGTTTAATTATTGGGTAATTAACCCAATAATAATTTGATGGGCCAAATCCAAGTTCTAGAGTTTTCTCTACAAATATCATCATCTCCACCTCCTTATGAGCAATAGTTTTGTTGCGTCTTCTCATGAGCAAATGGCTCTCTGTCTACTCTTTGCTTTTGCTCTTTTCTAGCGACTAAAACTATAAATATAACCAATGGGCTTGTTGAGTCGCTTGACCCAGTTACATACCCCTGTAAGTGATAAAGTGGCTCTTACGGATATGATGCAGGATTGGGTACATATTTGAGGGTCCATAAGAAGCCCAAGATAAAGTCTTATGAGAAGTCCATCTGCCCATGTAACTAGAGTTTTAGTAAGTAAGAGATTTTGTCTAGAATAGCAACTCTCTTTCTTTTCCATATATGAAAATCAATCCAAAAATCAATTAAAATTCTGGTGATCTCTTTCCTTCGATAAAGCTTCATATGAGCTATCTTATTTCTTAGCTTATTTGTAAAGAAGTTAATTGAACACCTAAATAACCTTACATAGTTGTTATATATTATACAAAAATTGATAAGTTAATGATGATTAATTTAAAGTATTGTTCATGACGGTAAAACTTGGGAAAAAAAAAACCAAAATAGACCAATCTAGTTGTCACTGCAAGTTTGCTTTTTCGTTTAGGGTCTGCAATCTCTTAATCCGCTTCTAAGAACTTCTTCATCCAGTTTGTGTCCTGTAATATATTCAATTACTTGAATCAGTAAGCTGAGAGAAAAGAGAGTGCTGGGAGCAAAAATGTTTACTATGAGCACAAAGGAGATATGACCTATAAATACTATTTTGTTCGTTCGATTCTCTTCCTCGCTCCATTTTCGTGCTGGCACTATCTCATATATCTCTCTAACAGCCTGCGCATATTCAATAACCAACAAGAATGTGAAGGACATTCTGAGAGGATCATAAGACCTTACTCATGCTTTAATTCATGACTACATTACCTGCAAAATATGCATCTGGTCTGAGTTTTGAATGCTCAACACAGCCTTGCAACGGTATACATCCATCTCCGATTTTTTATCCCACAGAATTTCCTCAAGCCATAAACGAACCTGTCAAACCGAGAAACAAGTTGGTGTATCACAAAGAACACTATTCCTTAACTAATTGTCCAAGAATGTTCAATAAATTTGCTACCTTATCGAGGTTTATAGGTTGGGGTTCGCTGATGCATAGAGTCCTTATTCCACTATCGTGAAGATCTGTCGTCGTTAATGATTTATTTGTTTCCAGCAGGGATTCCAGACGACTAACATGCTAATGTCAACAGTGAACAAGGAAAAAAAGTTCAGTTGCTAGAGTCAAAAGCATAAATAATAATCAAAGAGGGATGAGAAATTTCCGAGACTTAACATTTGAATCATATGCCTGGCAGTTTAATATATTGGACAAATCAACTTGGCACCTAACAGATCGGATGACATTAGCGAGCGAGTTGATGGAATGAATCTCCTTCTCTAATTCATCAGACTCCTCTTGAGAAATCAAGTCCACCTTGTTCATTATTATCGTGTCCTGCAAAACGAATTAAAAAGTCCTGTCATGATGTAGAAGGCCATAAGTCAGTGTACCCATTGGTTGTCAGAAAATGATTACCGCAAATGCTATTTGATTAAAGGCCTCAGAAAACGAGGATGAGTCACGGCGCTCATTGAGCTGAAAACGAAGATTCTTTGCATCCACGACCTATTCAAGCAGCTAGGTCAGTAAATGCATTTGGAACAAGATACCTAAGCACTAAATTACTGGAAACAGGGAGACAGTACACAACCTGAGACATTTATGTTACAAAGAGGTAAACAGAAAAAGAAAGATCACTAGCTAGTTTTAAGAAGAGAAATAATGGTGTCAAAAACATAATTCTATGTTTTACAATTCATCTGCTGTGTTCAAGATGATAGGAGAAGTATAAGGAACAGCTTCAAGCTTAACAAAGGAGAAGTGAATAAGATACTCACAGTAACAATACAGTCAAGCTTGACTTCTGATTCTAACTGGTCATCCAACCAAAGAATAGAAGCCAGTGGAGCTGGATTCGCTAAACCTGTTGTCTCCAGTAATATATGATCAAGCCTGCAAACGAGAAAGCAAAAGCAGAACGTCTAATAAGTGAAAGAGACATTGTTCTCCAAAATGTAAGTAATTCTACTTCAAACACAGCCATTAGCGAGCTCAACCCATCACCAAATCTTAGAGCTTTAGTGCTAACAATCATCACGAATATCTCACTGTGTCTAGAAATCAGATAGAAGATCATAAGTTTGAGCTGAAATTGTTCTGAGTTCGAACCAGCGTTTAAAGAGAGATAGAAAAACAAAGCACCTGTCTTTTCTCTGAACAAGCTGCTCGAGAGCTTGAACAAGACTATGCTTAACAGTGCAGCAAACACAGCCATTAGCAAGCTCAACCCATTCTTCAACAATGGCACCTTCTTCTCCTTCGTTAATCATAGCCCTCTCAACTCCAATCTCTTCCCCAAACTCATTCAAAATCACAGCTATTCTCTTCCCGTGTTTCCCGTTCAATATATAATTCACAAGCTGGTGCAAAATCAATCAGATTACATACTACAATCAACAATCAAAAACCAAAACCCAACACGTAAATCAGTGAAAGGAAGGGACTTACGGTGGATTTTCCCGCGCCGAGATAGCCAGTGATAACAGAGACACCAACTGAAACAGTGTCGCTTGATGAGAGAATCTTTCTGACAGAAACATCCGGTTGGATTTGAATAGCCATCGGTGGTTCTTCATCATCATCTTCCATTTTCACTCCCTCAGCTTCTTCCTTCAGCATCGCCGCCGGTTTATGCAGAGAGAGACGCCGTAAGAGACAGAGCTCCGTATATGTGCCGAGCCCAACTTAGCTCGGTTCGGTTCGGTTCGAATTGATTTGGCTCGGTTCGGTTTGGTTAAAATGTCAAACGACTCAAACGTCAAACCCCTAATTTTAACATCTGCTCGATTCTTCTTGCATCTGAGAGAAGAAGAAGAACTAAAGTTCTCGTTGTCTTCTGTTTCGAAAGAGAGCACATTTCTCTCTGCTCTCCTTCTAAGGTTTAAAGGGTTGTTTTTACTCTTTGCTTTCAACGATGGGAAGATCAAAGAAACCTCAAAAGTTTGCTGTAATGAAAAAATTGATAAGCCACAAAGCTTTGAAACAGTAAGTAACAATTCTTCTTCCTCAAAATTTTGATTTTTTTTCTTGTTGGTTTCTTAATGGATAACTTATCTTCAGTTACAAGGAGGAGGTTCTGAATCCAAACAAGAAGGACCTCACTGAACTTCCGAGAAACGTGTAAGCTATAATCCCCTTTTTTGTGCTTTCGTGATTTTGGATTTTGATTTGTGATTTTGGTGGTTTTTTTGTATCAGTCCAAGTGTTCCTTCAGGGCTTTTCTTTTCTCACAACTCTAGTTTGGTTCCTCCTTACCGGGTTTTGGTGGATACCAATTTCATCAACTTCTCTATCCAGAATAAGGTAATCCACAATCAAATTGCATTATCTAAATTAAAGCTGTAATCGGAATGTGCATGATAAAGTAAAGATCGATTTTGGTTGAGTTTTTTTTGTCTTGGTGGACTTGATTGAAATCTTGTTGTTTATGGTGCAAATGGATATCATTTTTTACTTAGTTTCTTCTGTTTTATGTTATAGATTGATCTTGAGAAGGGAATGATGGACTGTTTGTACGCAAAATGTGAGTTACTTAATTGTTTAGTTTACAGTTATGCAATATTCTTTCTCTTTGTTAAACTTTGAATCGTTTGGGATTTAAAGGCACTCCTTGTATCACGGACTGTGTCATGGCTGAGCTGGAGAAGTTAGGTCAGAAGTATCGTGTAGCACTGAGGTAAAAGCTTTTGTTTTGACTTCAAATAAGAGTAATCAGTAAAATTGCATCATTTTTGTGGATTCTTATTTGGTTACTTTACAATTTGGTTAGGATTGCAAAGGATCCCCGATTTGAAAGACTACCTTGTGTACACAAAGGGACATATGCTGATGACTGTCTCGTTGACAGAGTTACTCAGGTAATGCCTCAGCTCCGGTTTTGTTTACCTTTGTTTCTCTAAGAAGATGCTCTGTTTATGCATATAGTCTAATCTTCTGTTTGTTTCTTTCCTCTGTAATATACCAGCATAAGTGCTTCATAGTAGCTACTTGTGATAGAGATCTAAAGCGAAGGATTCGCAAGGTAAAGATAGTAGTTTGATATGAATGCTTTTTGAAATCCATGGCTAGAATCCTTGAATGTTCATTTTCTTATTGTTGTTCGTATATAGATTCCTGGTGTACCAATCATGTATGTGACACGACGCAAGTACTCAATAGAGAAGCTGCCTGAAGCAACAATCGGTGGAGGTATGCATTGTATCATCTCTTCTACAGTGATATTTGAATATAAGGTTACTTTGTATTAGCTTATTTGAATTCACTTTTGTGGTTTTTTTTATGGTGCAGCTCCAAGATACTGATATAGGAAATGAGACGCATGTTGATTCCAAGAATTTGGGAAGCCTAAGTTAGTGTTGGTTTAAGCTGCAAATCAAATGTGTAAGAAAGGTTGTGTTATGTGATATTGAGCCATTTGTGTTCAATCTCTGGCGAAATCTGTCTGTTTGATATTGTTATTGTACTTCTAAGCATTAAAGACAATTATTTTCTCAAGCTCTTGCACAATCTTGTTGACATGGTTGGTAAATTGGTGTGAAAAATTAAGATAACATGCGTGTAATCATCACAAGATCAACAAAAGATAAAAACTAAACATCATCGTCAACAATTACCATAAGGGCTAAAGATCTTGGACAAATCACTTACATCTACTTCATTTTACCAAAGTAAGAGCTAAACAGCATCATCAACAATAACCATAAGGGCTAAAGATCTTTGACAGATTACTTACATCTACTTCATTTTACCAAAATAGGAGCTTAGAGGTCATTCATAATATCGTTTTTCTTTTCACTTATTACCACGGAGCCAACACAGATGTTATAAACTCCAGCTCCACATCTGCAATCTCTTGATCAATGGTTTCTGCACATGATTTCATTTCAACAATCATTTTGTTCTTCGCTTCTTTCTTCTCTTTCGCAACCTCTGCTTGTCTCTTCAGTTCCAACAGTTTACGTTCTACCTCAACCATTGCGTGTTCAAATTTTTGCATTTCAGTCTCTTCAGCTTCAATCCTCTTCTCCAGACATTTTCTTTCCTCCACTTTCTTTGCTCGCCCAACTTGGAGAGACAACACTTTGTTTATCCGTGACTGAGGGGTTGCAACGTCGAAACCATGCTTCTCTAGCTCGGCAAAAGAACTACTGAGGCTACTTAGTTTGCTGGAAGAAACATCGAGTTGCAGATTTTTCACTTCTTCTAATAACCCGTAGAAACTCACCATCATACCAACTGCTGACCATTCACGGATATCTTCTTTGAACTCGAACAACGGGCTGAAATGAGGATTCTGTGGTACTGTCTTGTATCCCTTCTCTGTTTCATATGTTTTCCAAAATGGCAAATTCTTTGTAAAAGGTTCAATTATTAGTGTACCCTTTGCTTGAGTTTCCTCAACATCAGCAGCAGAATTATCCGCCACATTCGAGCTCTGATCAGAGGATAGCACTACAAAAACCAATGCAAAATAAAATAAATTTTTTTGTTTAAGCATATACAACCTGATTTAAAAAAAAAAAAGATACATCAAAGCTACTTTGAATAGTAATTGCTTTAGTATATTGAACCGAACCTGTAGGTATATTTATCCAAGCAGAGAGAGGCTGATCATCAACATCATCAACACGTATATTATCACTTGTACCGTTGATTCCAGCCTTTGAACCATTGCAAGTCTCATCTACAAGTTTTAACCAAGGATTTGATAAAGATTTGGCAAGAAACAAAGAATACCAAAAGTAATATGGCTAATGCTGATTTTAGACATACCAGTTTCATTCAGGTCAGAGTTTTGATTTTGTTCTCTTTTCCTCTTTCTACTCTTTTCGTTGCTATTCTCCTCCTCAGGCATCTGCATGCAAAAACAAATAACAATCATGAAGACTAAAGATAATAAGCACCATCTAGTGGAAGTGAGAATGGTTATGTTTCAAAAAACAAACTAGCTTTACCTCGTGTTGAGTTGAACTATTTTCCAAGCCATTCTGATTCTTCATTGGCTCAAGTGTCTTCTTTGGGGATTTATTTCCTTCTGTTTCAGCCTCTAGTTGTTTCAATGGTGTGGCTGTTATGACTGGGGCTGGGTTACAGGTGAAACAGATTCACATCGACATTAAAGATCAGTATTAAGCGATGTAGAAATTAACACATGGAGTTAAGGAAGATCAAATTTACCTATTGATGTTACTTGCGGGGTTATGACCAGATGAGTTTTGTCATACATCACAGCATCAGCCTTCTTCTTTCCTAATTCTTCAGTGGCCTAATTTCAGGTAACGCAAATATGTAAAACATAAGCAAAGACATGACGAAATCAAAGGAAACTAGTGAGTGTCTAACTTACAGCTACAGATTTTGCTTTAGTGAGTGTCTCGCTAATTTCGTCAGGATTCAGGGAACTTCTCAAATTCTTAGTGGCACTGTTAGGAGTCATTGATTTAGCAGCAGAACAAGATCGCATTGGCTTCCTTTTCAAGATGTTTGGAGGAGTTTCTTTTATGGGTTTTGGCTGAAAATAGAAAAAACGCAACAGCATTCATACCAATAAACCAAAACTGTCAGAATGTTGACTGAAAGTAGTGTAATTGATACCTTTGGATCGTTATGCCAAACTCCATCTTCCCACACCATGACAGGCCTAAGATCTGAGTGTTTAATTGTAGATTCCTGCTTTGTAGCCTCTAAAATAACCGAGTAACGGTTATCAGAGAGAAGTTTCCTCACCTGCCCTTTATGCCATCCCAAACCACAAAACGTCTCTACACATTCCAACAATGTATACTGGTCAACCGAAGAAGGAGGCGGTATGGGTCTAACACGGCGAGAATCAACAGTCTTGTTTGGTCTCGCATCATCACCATTGCAGCTCAGGTACCTATTCCAGTCCTTCACAATATATTTCTTCTTATCATCCACACCAATCTCTTTGACTACCATTGCAGGGGACCACACAGCATCTTTGGTAGAAAACACTTCCACCATTGTCCCGGAGCTAAACATGGACTTATCCAATTCCTTGAAAGACAACAAACATAGAAAAAGTCTACTTTAAGATTCCCTGTAACAATTTAAACCAAAGCATATATAACAAGAGCAAAGAAAGCAACAAAATTGAGACAGCTACAAGCAAAAACAACACCGGATTTAAGAAAGGATCTCTTAACCATGGAACTATAACACACTCAACAAACGAAAAATAGAGAAAAGTTTCAACCTTTTGCAAGAAAGCAACAAAATTGAGAAACAGTTTCAAACATATAAGAAAGATCCACTCCGATTAAATCAACCTCATACCTCAATTTCTGGTTGGATCCAAGTCCCACCGGTCCAGATAAGATGAGTCCGCAACTGCTTTCTCTCGAACTGTATAATGTCAGGAGGTAAATCAAAATAAACCAAATAGTTGTCGTCCTCCAGTTTCTTTACGACAACACCAGTCCACCATCCATCTTTGTGGTCAGCATCCACCAGCGAACCTTCCTCCAAAACGGCGCCTTTTTGTTGATTCTCCACCGGAGGGACAGGTCGAATAAATCTCTGTTCGATGTGTTCGATTAGAGGAGACGAACCGTTCATGTCGAGCAACGTCAAGTAACGAACACGAAGCTTTCTGCGAGCTGAGTTCCCTGGGTTTTCCTCTAACATAGCTCTGAACCAAGCACCTTCGAATCCTTCTTCTTCAGAACTGACTTCAACTTCACAATCTTTCATCATCATCATCGTTCGCTGCTCCATCTCCGGAATTGAAAAATGTGGTTACTTTGCGGAAATAATCAAAACCCAGATCCCAAATAAGCAAAGAGGGAAGCAAAAACCCGCTCTTTTGTAAAACCCTAAAATTTCACTCTGCTTTGGAAAACAGCTCTACAAGTGAAAGAAAAAGAAGAGAGAGACGGAGAAATTTACGAAAATAGGAAATATTAATTTGTTTTTCATTTTCTTTTTTGGCGCGATCAAAATTACGTATGAATGGCCTCGTCTTGTAATTTGTCGTATTTAAGTTTAGGATTAGCACAATATAATTTCAATTAACATTGTTAAGAAGATCATCAGATTTATATCGTTGTGCTCACGAAGGCTTTAATTAATTTACTAATTAGTTAGTTTCAGCTAAACTTATACAAGTAAAAAATCCGAATCCAACGCCTCATTAATGGGCCGAGCCCAGTTCAGTGATGGGTTACTATTCCGTAGCGAATCATTTACCAAACAAACCTCTTTCTCTTTCACTCTCTGCTCGATCGTTCATTCTGAAAGAAGAAGAATCTCAAGGTAAAGTTGTCGTCTTTGTAAATCTCTTGGCTTCTCAATCGTATTTCATGGTCTATTGTCTTAATAGATATAGTCCCCTTTGTCTTTTCTCCGATGGGTTTTGTTAATTGTTGGTCAATTCTCTTATGTTTAGGTAGAAATTGAAAACTGGAGTTTGTGTTATTTGCGCTATATCTTCCATCTTGAATCATTAATTTTCCATTCGAGATATTATTGTTGTTCGGACGCACCGATTCTATTTTGGGTCCTTGCGTTTCGATTGTCCTAATTACTCGTTTTTTAATCTGTAATCTTGTTGTGTGTTTTGAGCATTCTGAATTTTATGGATCTTAACTTACCAAGTGTTTGATTAAATGCCCCCAAAACTGCCGGTTTTTAAATACGTTCTTACGTTTACCAATTGTATATCTGCTTCCAGTGTAGTAGATTTCAAGTTAATTGCATTTGGCTTTAAATCCGCATTGAAAAGACACTGTGTCTTATTTCAGGGGTTAGGGTTTTAGTTCCAGGGTTTACAAGATGTGTGTGATGTTGTTGAAACCTTGTAATCTGATGGGTTATTTCTTACAGTTTTAAGTAGATGGGGAAGGACGCAAAAGCTGGTGGGAAGGGTAAAGGAAAGCAAGCTAGTGGTAGTGATGAAGCACCCTCCAAGGGTAAAGGCAAAGCAGGAAAAGCCGCTGATGGTCTTGGTACATGCACTTATGTTAAAGGTGTGTTTTTTGGATTCGTTTATGTGCCTGATACTTGTGTTCTTGTGCAAAATATACGGTAAACATTTCTGGTTCCAGAAGTTCTCTTACAAATTTTGCATTTGTAGTACCAAGTTGATGTACAGCAGCATACAATAGCATTAAAGTCAAATCTACAATGGTTTTGTTTCAGCAAGACACGTTTTGTGCGAGAAGCAAGGAAAGATCAACGAGGCCTACAAAAAGTTGCAGGATGGTTGGTTGAGCAACGGAGACAAGGTTCCTCCTGCTGAGTTTGCAAAGGTGAAAATCCTTCTTTTTTTCAATGAGATCAAAACAGCAATCTAAGATAGTTCAGATAGTATTGTTATTCCATCTGTAGCTGTGACATTTAACATAACAGCTGAAAACTCATTTCAATATCTTATAGTTAATTGTTTTCTCGAGACCTACAAGTTTCAGTTTTCGGTTAGCTATATATTTCCATAGATGTGTAATGAATGGTAGAGAATCTTAACACGATTCGTGTGTGGAACGATCTCAGATTGCAGCAGAGTACTCGGAGTGCCCATCAGGGAAAAAAGGAGGAGATCTTGGATGGTTCCCTCGTGGAAAGATGGCAGGTCCATTCCAAGATGTCGCCTTTAACACACCTGTTGGAGTCACCAGTGCACCCTTCAAATCAACGTATGTCCACATCCTATCTCATCTTTCTTCGATATGAATATAGCTTTATTAGTGGATGATGAAGGTGATTGTGCGGTAATTACAGGCACGGATACCACATTATCTTATCAGAGGGAAGGAAGAACTGACAGATCTATGTGCTCTGCTACTCCTATGGAAGTTGCTACTGTAACCTTAAAAAACACAGCCTTTGTTGTTTTGGCCAAATTGTTAAAAAAATCTGCTCTGTCGTTTTGAAATAATGAATGTTCTAAAGGCTATAATATATGTCGGTGTTGATTTCTAAATAGTGAGACATCATCTCTAATATCAGCTCGTCGCTTGGTTCTTTGGCTTTGGAAATTTTTTGAATTTGCCCCTAAGAAAATTTTGGTTTCGAAGCTGCTGACCGTAGAAGAGGCTAAGAGAGGTTTGCTATTGCTAACGTATCATTGATTAATACGTGTGAACACAAGTGTGTAAATGGGTTAGCGTAATTGCATGTGCATATGAAAAACAGAGGGAAGAGACGAGTGTTGTTGTGTGGGTCGTTGACTTGTTGTTAGTGTGAATCTAACAAACGCGCATATATATGATCCATAATTGCCCAAACCCCAAATCCTCCATCCACCTTTTTATTAAAGAAACAATAATTAATGAGATTTGTTGTTGCGTGAAAATTTTCAAAATAAGCAATTAAACATTCCAATGACTTCACGAGACAATAATAGTTCCCACTTGTGACTTCTTCATTCATTCATTACATATATTTTTTTTAAAAAGCACAACATATTTATATAAGGAGAAGAAAATATATATACTCAACAAAAAAGGATTTGATTTAGAGAATATAATCCTGATTAAAAAGAATGAATTATTTGGGATGTGTAACTCTTTGGAAAAAAAAAAAGCAAATGGGAACACTAGTCTTTTTAATTTCCTATAAGAGGGTCACAATCACAAGTACACAACCGCAATGAGTGCAAAAAATATGCAAAATCAGATGCAGCATTTTGTTTTATTAACATGAAATGTAATATGTGGAAATTTACCAAATCAATCATATAATGTATCTTAAGTTTAAGTACAAACAATTACACCTAAAAAGTTCAAAACTATATATAAAGATTACTAAAATCCACGTTTAACACAGACTATCAAAAGTTTATTAGCGAAAGCAACAAATCCGTCATTAAAAAAAGAAAGCAAGATAATAACTAATGTAATTATGAATACAATGAAAGCAAATTAAAATCATAGAATGCAAAATTTGTAAAGAAAAACGAGAACGCGGCAAAAATTACTAACGTGTTTTAATTTAACAAAAACACCAAGATACGTTGCATCACAAGTGGATAATGATGCAAGTATGCAACGTATAAGCTACGGACCTAATCACAATTCACAACGTATAAGTTACCTAGTTACAAAGATATAATTGTAATTATAAGTTATCTAATCACTCTTCTAATCCCTATATATAGTGTAAATATATCTCTCATCTAATAAGATTATTCAGCCTTCTAATCTATATGGTATGCCTTAACATTAACTAGAGTTTTTTCCACATACGGAGTATTACATTTTATGAAACCTAACGACAGCATATCATTTGTCCGACGCATGCCCTCCACATATTGTGCAAATTTCCCCATCTACATTGTATCAAACAACAAAAAATATTGTGTTAAAAGCAATAATAATTCGATAACGATACGTGTCAAGTATGAAAACTTAAAAATAAACAACTATAAGCAATTCAATGACTTCGCGAGACACACGCCACTCCTAATAATTCCCACATGCGAACTTCTATATTCCTTAATTAATCAAATGAATCACTACTTAACCACATATTAGTACTATTACTAATTAACAAACAAAAAAAGCACATGACAATATGACATTAGATGTGGAAAAGGAAATTCCCGTACGTAGAAATTCGTTATGCTTTTTTTTTTTGTAAAGAAAATGCTCTTGTTCTTTACCTTTGGAGATCTACGAATCAAAGAGCAAAATACTTATTTTTTTTGTTAAAGTCTTAAAGATCAAAGATCAAAGAGAAAATACTACGGTGGAAAAGGAAACATTATTGAGTTATTCTTACCAATAGACAGACAAGATCTAGATAATGGTGATTACAATTAAGTTTAAGACAATAAGTCTTTACATGATAGTCAGTCAACTCAATTGCTTCGGAGCCGTGCCTATTCAATTAAAAAAGAAACATTCGCCTACGTCATTAAATTTTATAGAAAAATTAGGAAGCCAAATTTGTTATAGTAATAAAGGATGTTTTAATGGATAAATGTTATATACTTTTATATAAAAAGTTTGGTGAAATAGGTTTTTTAAAAATCAAAACCCAAATTTACCCTCATATTTTCGAAAATATAATTAACAAAATTTTAAAAAAATTATTTCCTATTTTATTTACATAATTCAGATACCCTCATTCTTTCGCCAGATTGACCTGTCTTCACTAATTTGGGTATAATTCTTGAATACACCGTTAGATTTCCTTCAAAACACTTGGAAAATCAAGCTAATATCTTCATCTAGCCTGTGTCAAAAATTCAGAAAGATCTAATGGTGTGAAGTATTCCATCTGAGACCAAACGTATGACACTTCTAAACGAAACTGCATCTCCAAAAGTGTGTTTATAACCCAAAACAGCTCGTTTTCCTCCAAAGCAACCTAAAACCTGTAAAGACTCGATAAAATACTAAAATACTCTAAAAACACACTTTGAATCTATAAAACATATGATGTAGAAAAGAAAACAAAAGACTCAAAACCGATAAAAACACAACATATCAACTTTCCTCATCGATAAACAATAAACTAAATGAAAATTCCTACTTGGTAGGTTGAGACTATGGTTCTTACGTTTCTTTTTAAATTATGTTAAATTGGTCTTGGAACTTATGCTGTATATACTTAATTTAGTGATAAGTCAATCCGAAACTCAAAGCAAAACCACGAACATAAGAGTAGTAGGGATTCCAATTATGAGAACAAAAATTCAAACATAGAGTACTAGGAAATTCAAATCTGAAATAAAGAATGCGAAAATAATCATGAAATGAGAAAGAAGTTCAAAATCCATATAGTGGTAACTAGAAACGTTCAATAGAGCAGTTGCAACATAATCCTGAAAAATATAAAGAAAACAATTATCAAAACAAAATATAAAAGTAGAGAATCTATACTTAAGTTTTAAACTAGTAGTCAGATCATGATCACAAACAACCTTATATTGCTACATCACATGTTACTCGATTATGGCCTTCTTTACCACAACGACCGCACTTATGCTTTTTTGATAATTGTGACTGTTGTGATGCTTTTATCTTGTCTTCAGCTGATTCATATCTTCGTTTTCTTCGTCTACCAGGTTGTCTTCTTGTTTCATGTGGTAAAACTTTTGCAGATTCAACAACCTTTGGGACGCGCCATTCATCTTCAGGAACACCTGTTAGATTAATAGTTTCCTCATATAATGATCTCCAAGTGGCAGTTGTATACACATCATCAACATATGGGTATATACCAAATGAAAAAACGAGGCACAGAACGGGGAAAAACAATGACAAATCTACCAAATTAGTCTAACCTTTCAACGTGGACTTAAAAAAGAAGAGGTGAAAGAAGAAGACTTTGACGATTAGGGCTAAAAACGATTTCACCCTCTAGATTTTCGTTTTTAATTTTTTTTTTCATCTGAAAATATTAGAATACGTATTCTAACCATCTTCAGATCGTAATCTAAACAATAAAAACGTAATATTTAATAAATATTTAGTTTCCTTTTTGAAAGATTCACTTTCTATATTTAGGAATTCTAAAACTTTTCAGAAATTAAAATCTATATTATATTAGAAAACGGATTCTAAAATAATTATACGTTTTCTAACGTTTTTAGAACATGTTATAAATCGTAGAATAGATTTTCTGACTAAAATTAGAACATGAAGAAAAGCGTAGAATACATGTTATAAGGATTTTTGGAAATTGTATTCTGGTCTTCTGAATTTGTTAGAACATGTATTTAATCTAAAAGTCGTAGAACATGTACAAAAATTTAGAATACAAACTATGATTTTCGTAGAATATGTACAAAAGTTTAGAATATAAATTCTGATATTCGTAGAACGCTAGAAAACGTATTCTAATAATTTTAGACGAAACTTTATCCATAAAAAATCAACTTTTTTTCAACTAAATCATCAATTTTTTGTTTCAAATCATCTATAATTTTGTATATCTACATGTTTTTTTGGTAAAATCATTCAAAAATACTTAAAATAGAGAGTAGGGGTATTTTAGTCTAAAGTGACATTCTAAAAAAAAAAAGTGTATATGGTCAAACTTTTTTTAGAACTCCTTTATTTCTAATTTTCCCAAAAAAGAAACATTCGCCTACGTCATTAGATTTTATAGAAAAATTAGGAAGCCAAATTTGTTATAGTAATAATGTTGCAGAAGTATAAAGGAAGGTAATAGAACGTCAACGTGCACTAATATCTCTAGATACAAGGAAACAAGTTATTGACCGGGTAATGACTATTTAATAACTCGTAACAATATTCACAAATATATTTTAGTTACCATAAAGTGTTTGTTAAGTTGTTTTTTCATGATCTTAAGTGTTCACTAATAACTCAAAGTTGTTAATCTTTCAATCTTTGTATATCATACAATATTTATATAAAATTTATACTAATCACCAAAACTACTTTTTGTTCTGTTTTGATAATAACTAATACATAATGTCGTATCGATACACAACATGGCACTAACACATTACTAAACTACATGTTTTGGTCAACCTAATATCTATATATATTTTTTTGATATTTTTGATAAAAATTTATTTATATTTGCTTAAAGTTTTGTTATAAATTTATAACAAAATCTTAAATTTAAAATACATTTTTGTATTATGTATTGGGTTTTATGATAAATTATCTAAATATTAAACTACAATATTTGCCTATAGTTTTAAAAACTCTTGGCACAGCTCTCTCAATACCTATCTTCACTTTTTAATGTTTTAAGAAAATGTTTTAAGAAAATAATATATGTCATTAGGCATGATCCAAAAAAAAAAAATTAGATACCCAACCACCATGTTTTATATATATATATATGTATGTAAGATTAAGATCTTTCCAAAAAAAAAAAAGTTTAAATATTTTTAAATTTTAGTACTTATAAAACATGTATTTCTCGGTAGAATATTATTTTTGCTGAAATTTCGAAAAGTTTACATATAAAAAAAATTAAATTTACTTGTTTTGTTGCTTAAGGTGATTAATTAACCAAAAATGTGAACTAAGAAGGCAA